CGAGGAATATGACTAATACTACTGTCTTATCTAAGGCCATTTCAATATGACATGGCGTGACACGTCAGTGGGCGTATGAGTCATATCAGTGATGCTGAGAATTGTGACTTGGGCTTTCTTGAACCGGGTATGATTATCCTGTTGCTAACCCACGTTATATCTTGGACTCGAATGCAATGCATTGATCACGAAATTCAGAAATGATGGTTGAATGGCGAGCATGTTGATCAAACAACGTAATGAATTATCAAAATTTAATATCAAGGTGCAGCGGTCATTCCGACTTTAGCAGGGAAAGAAATGAACAATATCTCGATGTTGTCAGGCTGTCGGGGATAAGCAGGATACACAATCTAAACACATTTGTGACAAGCTGGTGGGCGCATGAGGCCAAAGACGACTACATACGCAGGGTTTCCATGTGAACGATGTTTGCCGACAGTGGTAACGTTGCGGATAAAGGAGGCGGGACTTTGGACCGTCAGAGCAAAAGTGGTCACGTCAAAAGACCAGTCTTATTCAAAAGGGAGTGACCGCCAGTCAAAGGAGCTCGCATTATACGGGAACGGTGCCCATAAGACGTTATGGAACGTGCAACACATGGTCGTCACATGTTTCTTGCAAAGACGTTTGCGACAGGTGTCGTGCTCGGCAAAGACGGCACAAAATCCCCGCCATTAAATTGCGTTGTGGTTGACATTGGAAAGGTAGACTTTCCTAAGGGACAGGGCGCCACCTAAGCAATACCAAGGATGAAGAGCCTTTCTAGACCACAGGGCAGCAACGCATCAACTGTCCGCTGTTGTCAGCTCTGCGCTAGATGAAGCTGGCATCAACGGTCCGGTGGCTTCCATAAAACAGGAATGGAGCCGACAAGACGATGTGGAAGTTAACCGAATGAGCCCGAACCCCCCTGGTGAAAGACCCTGACGTGTCGAGATGAGGGGAATGAACGTTGCAAACATGGGTTCAATGTTCCTAAAATCAATGACACAGTATGATTCAGCGTTCTCTGTACTTTGAGCCAGCGTTTGACCCTCAAGAATGGCCTTGAGAACATGACCTTGAGAGGTCAGGACTTGTTGACGGACGCTAGTTTTTTGTGGTGAGTACTCTGATGTTTATAAGGTGAAAATTGGGCGGTTATTTTATAGAGATATGGAGATCCCTGTCCTTTGAGTCCTCGTCAAGGTCAAACCTTGGAGGATGGTCTTGAGAGTTCAGAACTTTTTGACGGACGCTAGTTCTTTCTGTGGTGAATATTCTGACGCAAGTTGAAAATCGGCCCGTAATTTTTGGGTGATATGGAGTTCCCCGTCATTAATGCTCGCGGTTGACCTTGAAGGATGACCTTGAGAGGTCAGAACTTTTTGACGGACGCTAGTTTGTTGTGGTAAATATTCTGATGTTTGTAAGTTGAGAATCGGGCGGTAATTTTGGGGTAATATGGAGTTCCCCGTCCTTTGAGTCTGCGTTTGGTCGTCAAGGATGACCTTCAGAGGTCAGGACATTTTGACAGACGCTAGGTTTTTTGTGGTGAATATTCTGGTGTTTGTAAGCTGAAAATTGGGCGGTCATTTTTCAGAGATATGAAGTTCCCCGTCCTTTGACTCGTCGTTTGACCTTGGAGGATGACCTTGAGTTGAGAACTTTCTGATGGACGCTAATTCTTTCTGTGGTGAAAATTCTGACACTTGAAAGATGAAAATCGGCCGGTAATTTCTGGTGACATCGAGTTCCCCGTCCTATGTGCTCACATTTGACCTTGAAGGATGAACTTGAAAGGACGGGACTTTTTGGCGCACGTGAGTTTATTCTGCGGGGAATATTCTTACATTTGCAACTTGAAAATAGGCCGGTAATCTTTGGGAGAACTCTTGCGCCTATGAATTTTTTGATGCATATAGTTATCAAATCGGCCAGCAATTTTTGGGTGATATCGGGTTCCCCGTTCTTTGACTCAGCTTTTCACCTCAAAGGTCATATGATATTGCAAAATGAGGGTCAATTTTGATGTTCTCATGTCACAGTTGACTTTGAGGGGTTTTTCAGAAAAATCGGAACTCGTCACTGAATAAATCGATTAATAAATCGCTAACTTCACGGACATGGCGTTCTTAGCCGGAGACGTTCCCTCGCGTGTTTCTGGCGCTCTTCATCGACCAGCCGACCATTTTCCTGGAGGAGTTCTTCGATGCCATCCGCGAGCTCATCTACCCCAAAAAGAAGATCGACCTGCTCCTCTACAGGGGCGCCAAGTGCCACCACGGCGCGGTGGAGCAGCTGGCGGGGAAGGTCCGAGGCGCTTACGGCTCGGTCACGGTTGTGGGTCGCGAGCCAGGCGTCAGCTCGAGGGCCGCCCGCTCACAAGCCATGTGAGTTCTGTCCCGAACAGCACGCTTCGCTAGCGTGGCCCCCGGCCTGTTAACGCCTGGAACCCGTCGACTGTCGCCGATGCGTCACTTTGCGGCCATTGCCGGAACGTTTTTGTAGCTGTATCGCGTAAGTTGCCGGGTGCATTAGCGAGGAACATTATTCACATAGATAAGACAGCAGTGTCCTAGGATTGCCGACTTTGGGTGTAAAGCAACACCCTATGAGGAGGAATTTTTCACTCCTTTTCCCATATTTTATGTGAATTTTTCACTCCCGCCTGGCATTGTCTAATCGCGCATGCCAAACCCCTATTTCCCTTTCTGAGGTTTTCACATGTCATCCAAAACCGAGCTCATTTGAAACCACCAAGCATAACGAGGCTCAACGGAACCTGGGCGCCTATGGCTATGTCCTGCCTCACCTACATCTGCATCATGTCTGTGTACGCACAGAGCAAGGGCGCCAGGTACCTCCAAACCCAAGAACCCCAGCGACTCCAGCCGCTTGCACGCATTAAGTTTGGTTTGCTTACAAAATGCATTGCAATCGGCAGCTGTGTGCCAAATGCAAGGTTGTCACGCATCCCGTATTTTTTCGTCTCACCGCCACACCACGAAAGCAGAGCCTGGTGCAAACAACAGCAAGGCCTGGTAGAAAATTTTACTCCACGTATTTCTTTTTCCCCGAGGAAACTTGACCACTAAATTGCATCACTCCCGAACTGCAAGAGTGAAAGATTCAAGAAGCGTTTTCCAAATTGAATCTACAACATGAACATCATCATTTGAACACTTATCGTAACAGATTTTATATCAAATCAGCTGATCACAAAATTTTGCCAGAAAAGTATCAGTACTTATAGTTATTTAACTCCTTTTATTTTCCGTGGTATCCTACGAGTGTGATACCACTTTATTCTTCATTTCTTTCGGATTGCCTTTAGAGGTACCATCTGCTGCCTAAAATGTTGACCAATTTTTGTGGAAGATTCTCCAATTGCAAACTTGTACGTATTTCGTACATAAATTGGGTTAATTCGCCAGCCGCCCAAAGATGTTTGATATGCACTCAAGAGTGAACAATTCACAGGGAATGAAGGAGACAATTTAAAGCACGAAAATTATTTTTACCGCCATTTTTTGCCCTGTTAAACCCTCGCCCAACCGTTTTCTTGGTTCATGGCAGTGCTCAATAATGATACATCTAAGCCTTTCGAGTGTCTAACTCACCAGACTACCTGATAAGGCCATCCTAATACAGTCGTACAGAGCTTTGGGACAGACCTGACGCAGTTATACAAGAGTGTTTGATGGCGAAATGATCCATATTGATGTTTATCCATGTTTATCATGCACACCTCTTCCTTGTTTCGCATTTGAATCTCGCAGATTGGTGGGCATCATTGATATTTATATTTGGGGGGTGAGTGGGATGACTCTGTTTGCCAGCAGACCATGCAAAAGGTACTGGCTCTTTGTCTTGGGGGAGCAGGAAGAAGCCAGTAAGCCTCCTGTGAACCAAGTAATTGCTTGCCTCACCTCCTTTCGACACATGATTGGTAACCAGAGTTAGCAATTCCTGTTTCAATCAATCGAGTTTTGTCATAACACAAACTATGACGCCACAAGGCATGCAATGGGCTAATATTGTTCCATATTGTGGATAATCTGCCCCAAATTTCCTGAAGTGGTCCCTCATGGTTGCTTTAACCAGATGTTTTCTATACTTGTTATGGTTTGCTGGCTGGCAAATGACTTTACTGTGTATACGCACTACATTTGTAACACAGATATACTCTAAGCTGCATAGCAATTATAATATGAGTTAAATTTTAGTATGTAACAAATAGTCAGACCATCCCACTTAAAATGTGAAGCCAACGTGCCAAACTTTGTCATTAAATATGAATAAACAAGCCTAAATAGATGCCTTTGCTGCAGCTGAAAAGGCAAGCAGCAATACTGTCATGGCCATCTAAAGGTTATGTTACTTTTGGAGAAGAGAGATTGTTTTGTGGAGCATATCCATTATTGCCCTTGAAGTAGGTTAACCGTGGCAATCAGAATAAGTTGTCAAAGTGATTTCAAGCATTTTGATTTGTGTCTTATCAACTTTGTCCGATGTCAACAAGCATACACAAATGAACTGAATAAAGATGCAAGTTGAAACCAGCCAAAAATTAGCTATATCATGTTTTCATCACAAGTGCTTCTGTCAACAGATAGGTGAGTTGAGATGATGTTCAATATATGGGCAACTTAAGTTGGGTTAAGTTGGTTAAGTGCGTGGCAAGTGGCAATAGGAATTGTGCAAGAATCGGTAACTCACAACTGCTGCTGTGATACAAACAGGTTAGGCAGGATGAGTTGAAGTGAGACCTCTTTATGTTAGGCATAGTTAGGCCACTTCCATGGAATAAGCATTGGTACTTTGTAAGAAACAATGACAAAATGTTTGTTTTCCCTGACCCTATCTTAACAAAAGCCAGAGGTATGTCTATTGTGTTTGACTTGGTGATGGGCTGATGTGTGGCAGTCCAAGGTTTTTTTGTTTGAGTGTTTTATGCTTGTTGAATTTTACGTTACTTTGTTACTGAATTATTCTGTTTGTGTTGTTTTTTGTTTGTTTTGTGTCAAAGTGCTGTGGAAGGGTACTGCAAAGTACAAGATCAAATTATTTGTTTTGTGTCAAAGTGCTGTGGAAGGGTACTGCAAAGTACAAGATCAAATTATTTGTTTTGTGTCAAAGTGCTGTGGAAGGGTACTGCAAAGTACAAGATCAAATTATTGGTGTTAATAATTGTTGATGCTCATTACACTGTTATGAAATTACTATGCTTTAAGGCATTATGTTCCACTTTAAAGGCTTAAGATATTAAAAACCAAAAAGTTGTGTCAGGTCTATGATATTACGTCCATGCCAACTTGAAACAGATGTCTTTGTTTGCTGAAGCATCAGTTACGAGGTCATAGGGGCCATCTTTTGTGAATTCATTTTTTCACTCCTGCACGGTCTTTTTGCGATGGAATTTTCACTCTAACCCTGGTTCAAAAGCAATTCTAGCTCCCTGTAAGACAGTGATATTAGCCCTATGCCTCGGAGAAAAACCAGGAGAATGGGGACATAGTTGGGTTGATATTTCTGCAACATGCCTTTATTGAAACAATGATAGAAGTCAATTGGTTATATGCATATGACACTTCTGCTACTGTTTCGATAAAGGCATGTTGCCGAAGCATCAACCCAACTATATCTCTTTTCTCCTGTTTATTTCCGATAAATAAAGCTGATAAATGCCGTATTAATTGTATAGTGTTTAAATTCGCTGTTTTTTGTCAACTTAGGTCAGTGACGTTTGTCCAATTTACCTATGCACATGGCGGGATGTTGAGGAAATTGATGGCATGCAAATTCATTGTTTATCTTGTTAAGGCCTGCGCAATATTAGTAAGCGACAAGCGCTTGGACCGATCTATTATTGGGATGCTGTCGTAAACATTCATCATGCGTCAACGAAAAACTTGATGCATGGACGTTTTCAGCGACAAAGGTATGACAACGGAGACAGACTTCTTCCTGTTGGTGGATTCTACGGCACATTTGGATAATCCATAGCCCTTGAAGTTGCCCATTGAACAGAACAGGTGAGACAGATTGAGACCAGAGAAGTGAGGATACAACCCATTGAAAACAAAACAACATTTTTCGCTGTTGATCATCGTAATTTACCGCGAACTGTGAAGAGCATGCTCATGTTATCGTCATATAACGGAATGATGATGGTGGGTTTTATTTACCCTTTGCTTTGCAGTGACGTAGTTACACCGATGCTGGCGCGGATTTACACCACCAGGGGCAATTTCATGACGGAGCCCAGTGTGGACATGTTGGCGGCTTCGCCGGCGGAATGCAAGGCAATAGTTACCAACAAACGGAAGTGAGTATAGGCACGTGTGGGTCCGACTGTCTTGCTGGTTGAAACCAAATGACTGATTCAGGGTCCAAAAAGAGCATTGAGTTTCATAACGCGGGGGCATATATTTATATACATACGTGTAAAACAACGTATACATTATATATTATATATATATATAAATATATATAAAAATATAAATTAAATATATATATATATATATATATATATATATATATTCTTGGATGAATCTTTGGCTAAGAAGACGGCTGGATCTGCATTAACGAACGTTTTACTTTGATCCCACTTTTTGTACCGATGTACCTACTTCTTATGCATGGGCTGAGGCTCGAGCTTTGATCACAGCCAATATCAGCTCCGTTAATTGTTCATGCAAAATGACTCACAATTTTGGTCATGCAATTGTTCAGGAAGTCACGTGTAACACGACACTTTCGATTTGGTTTGTTTGCTTGGATTAGAGCCTTTCCGGCCTGTTATGACCGTTTCAGGATTATGGGATGAAGGTTCTGTGGTTACTGCATCACTGGGCACGGCTACACAGTGGATGACGGCAAGCTGAGGCCGGTCTCCAAGTTTCCACGGCCGGAGAATGTGACCGACCTCCGGTCCTTCATGGGACTCACAAACCAGTTGAGCGACTTCTCTTCGGAGCTCGCCTGCCTGGCTCAGCCTCTACGAGACCTGCTGAAACAGAAGACGGTGTGGAACTGGGCCGTCCTACACGAAGACGCATTCCAGTGTGAAGAATGCGCTGGTGGCGCCGCCTATCCTGGCCTTCTTCGACCCGCTCGCCCAGACGGCGCTGCACACCGACGCCTCACGGATTCGCGGCCTCGGTTTCGCGCTCATGTAGCGACATGCAGGCACCTGGAAGATACAGTGCGGATCTCAGTTTTTAACCGACACAGTGTCACGAAACTCGGCCATCGAACTCGAGCGTCTGGCTGTCCTGTGGCCATGCCGTAAATGCTACACGTACCTGGCCGGCCTCCAGCATTTTAAGGTGGTGGTAGATCATGGACCGCTGGTACCGATACTCAACTCTAAACGGCTCACGGAAAGCGAAAATCCTCGACTGCAGCGTCTCAGAGAGAAGCTAACACCGTACAGTTTCACCATCAGCTGGCAAAAATAGGTGATGCGCTGCATCCCAGATGCCCTGTCTCGCTCGCCCGTCAGTGACCCAGCGCCGGAAGAAGAGGTAGCTGAGGTGTCGGATACCCCACACACCGCGGTGGTAGCGGCTCTGCAGTCGACGTGTGAAGATGGCGCGCAGATCGCTCCTCTCCGGGACCGGACGCTGCCCGCTGTCAGGGCGGCCGCCGCCCGTGACAAGGAATATGCATCGCTGCGAGACAACGTGATGAATGGCTTTCCGGAACACCGGCAGGAGACAGCTCTCGCGGTGCGGCCCTACTGGGGCATCCGCACCATGCTTGCTGTGGACGACGGTCTGGTCGTTTATGGCGCGCGTCTGGTCATCCCCGCCAGCCTGCGGCGACAGATACTCGTCAGTCTGCACGACTGTCATCAGGGTATCGACACTACGAAGTGCCGGGCTTGACAGTGCGTGTTCTGGCCTGGAATCGACAGAGACACAGCCAACACTGTAGCACCCTGCTCCAGCTGCCGACAATTTCCTCTGAGACAGTGCAACGAGCCGCTGTGGCGGGGTGGGGACCAACCGAGTTGTGTATTCGAGAGGCGTCTGCTATTTTCACGTGGCTGGCCGGACGTATCTCGTGTATGTTAACCGGCAGTCGGGCTGGCCGTACATCACCGTGTGCCCGCGGACGGCTTCAGCGGACCACCTGACCAAACAGCTCCGCACGCTGTTTGCAATCACTGGTGTTCCGGCGGTGCTGCGGACTGACGGCGGACCGCAGTTTGGATCCTCGACGCGGCGCCGGTTCCTGGAGCGGGGGGAGTTCATCATGAGATGTCGTCTCCCAGGCATCCACGCTCGAATGGACATGCAGAAGCCGCCGCGAGAACGGTAAAAAAGGATTGTCAGTGCCGCGTCAGCCGGGGGCCGCCTGAACGACGAACAGCTCGATCGCGGTCTGCTCGGGCCGCGCAATACACCGTGGGCCGACGGTCGGTCGCCTGCACAGGTCCTTTTCGGCCACCCGCTGCGGTCAAGTTCGGTGCCCATGCACCACCGTGCCTACGCCACGGAGTGGCAGCGGGCAGCCGACCAGTGCGATGAAAGGGCCACCGAGATTGTAGAGGACGTACGGCATCGACAAGACCTGCGATTCCGTTCACTCGCATCCCTGCCGCTTGGTGGCAGAGTGGACGTTCAGAATGCTGAGACTCGCCGCTGGGACCGCTCTGGCGTCATCGTCGGTATCGGCCGGCGGAGATCCTACCTCGTCAAGCTGCCGAGCGGGTGGATCTGGAGGCGAAACAGGCGGTTCCTGCGACCCCGTCACCCACTGCTGGCGAGCCCCGGACCTCCAAGCACGCCAGGCGGCGCTGCCACGGGTATGCCGCCGAGTCCGCCGTGCGGCGCTGTGCAGCCGGCCGCCGCCCAGGTGCCGCCTGCCATACCTGCGGAGCCGCTGCTCCGCCAGGGCGTCCGCGATCCGCACTCCGCAGCGCCTCACCGTCCGCTGGGACGGTCAGACGTGCTAAAGTAGATTTCGTCGAGATCATTTCCTTGCGGTGTGTATAAAAGTGATGGGATAATCACTTAGGGGGAGGTGTTTGGTTTGATGTTAATCTGGCGTTCTGTGCGTCGGGCGCCACTAGCGCCACGGTGCGGCGGCTAGCGCCGAGAGTGAGATTCAGGGATATATCCGCGCTCGCACGCGACACACCTCCGCGTATTATACATTGAAACCAAACACATCGCACCTTATGTCTTGTGCTTCTCCCGTTTATTTGAAACTGCACAGGTGACCGTCTGTAGCATGAGTGGACAACACTTCTGTGATAACAAGATGATTGCGTGTTATGTATTTATAGTCCATTCGCTCTACCGGAAATTAAACTATGCGATCTCATCAAGAGCTTTCCCGCTCGAGTTGCGCATAAGACCTCTTACACAAATTGTATCTACTCCACATGTAACACGTTTCGTTTGTGTCAAGGTTTGGTGGCAGTGCAACCCATTTAAACACACAAATGCCGAGCTGAATTAAACAAAACCTTGAACCGAACTTCATTTGTTAAAATCACACAAAAGTTAGTAGGACCACTATCACGCGTGTTAAGCGAAATAACACAGGGGTGAGTTTCATCAAATATTATCAAGCAGATGATATCAAGCTTTTGGAAAATCAGGCAAAACAAAAGCTAATGGAGACGGAAGTAAGTGGAAACCGACACACCTGTGCCTGATAAGCGCATGGAACAACTCGGTTTTCAGGGATGTCTAGTGGGCAGTATAGTAAGGACGTTAAGTTCGAGCTAGATCACGACTGACATTTGTTGAGAATCCGCTGGCGAAGAGGTGCACATTCCTAACCAACTGCAATGCGCTGAATTACAACAACTCGTCGTCCATACCGACCCTCAATGTGCTCTGCAATGTCCCCGAAATTTCCATGCTCCCTGCTAACCCGTCGTTTCTGCGGAAATCCAAAATGGTGTGACTAAGTATGCTTTAGATAAACGTTGGCTAACGTTTCGCGGATAAGGGCGTCATAAGTCCAGCCGACTGCCAAATGCCGTTTTATGTTGGGATCAGCAGATAGTTCATCGCGCTTGCAAGATCGCTCTTGAGCGCATCAGGAATTTATTTTCAAATAAAAAAGGACATGATTAGCATTATTCTGAGCGCGCAGCTGGGTAGTGTGGCATGAAGACCGGGTACTTGACAAATTGTAGTACACAATGTGCACAATCTCTCACACTGCTCGGGCACAGCCCTGCTGTTGCACTCACTTCATGCCTTCTCGTCCCGGATGGCTCACCGCCACTGTTCCACACTCGGTCCATTCTATGACCATGACCCAAAATTTGTCACGCGCTCCCCGGTCGCCTCAGAAGGTGACCACCCCCGCCCCGGCTGGACAATCCCGTGACCACGTGCTACGTTCAGGACGAGTCTGAACGCCTGAGCCACCGTGTGGAAAGCCAGGGTCGCGGGGGTCAAGGCCGGCAGATCAGACAGCGCCCAACACGACGGTGGTCGCCTTTAAGCGGATCAGTGAGTCGTCTGCACGCGCGGGAGCGGGAGACCCCCCCCCCCCCCACGACGGCACTAGGATGTGCCGCCCGAAAGAGCTCTCGGAAAGGGCGAAGCCTTGCGTCGTTTTTCAATGCTGTGATTTTGAGGTTAATTATGTTAAGCCTACACCAAACACAAAAAATTAAGTTAACACAGCGGAGCAGTAGTTAAGAGAAATGTATCATCATGATTGTGACGATCAGCATTAAAATGTACTAGCATGTACCGCAAGAACATTGGTTTATACCATGTGAAATCAGATGCATTTGCGTACATTTCGCTGGTGAATACCTAATATTTCCACCAAGATATCACGAAAACCGCACATTTTAATCATGGCACGTCAAACGAAATCATGCAAAACCATGTGCAATTGCGACATGAACCTTACTCTTGCACCACATTTTGTAAATGTGGAAGGACTCCCTATTTGTATTTGATTCTGAGGCAATCTGAGGCACAGTCACTTTGTGCTGCTATGCGATGCGCGATTACAAATAACCAAGGTTTCATATTTTTCCAGTCCGAGCAACAACGGAAGATTTGGTAATATCTGGCAGTCCAGCAATGTGGCTAAAAAGCGACGCAACTGTTTCACTCTCCTGAGTGAAAGCAACGCTGGCACCTACTACCGAGCGGGTGGATTATAATTTTGACGCTTCCGACAACCTAGCTGGAAAGAATGGTCTCAGTTTAGGTTTTTCATCAGCTAGTGTGCCTAAGAACAGATACGCATCTGCAGTACCATATATGAGGTGACATGGACATCATATTTTGTTTCCGAAAACATGCTAGATACGCGTCGTCCTACGTTTGTGAACTGGATGCCCCTCAAACGATCGGATGACAATTGGAGGCATGTAGGACCTAACCCGGATTCTGAACATGTTAAGACAATGTGATCACAGCTGTAGGTTATGGAAACCAGAAGCGATATTTGACCATGCTAAGTGGTGGTACTTGTGAACTAACGGCCAATAATGATGGTACGATTAGCAATATGATAAGCGCTATTTTGTTCTGCTCGTCATGGAAATTCCATAACCAACATGCGTCAAACTGTGTTAAGAATGTAAGCACCCAATAGTTTACAGCAACTTATTGCACTTCGCTTCTTGCTCTTATTGCGCATTACATCGAGTCAATAACCCGTCGCTGCATCATATCGCAACGGTTCTGCATCGACCAGCACATGCAGCAACGCGGCATGATCACTGTTCCTTGTCCTTCCATCAATACGAGTTTTGTTTTACCTACTCGGCCTCCAAAGCAGCCCCAGACAGTCAGGAGTGCCTCGGCTCCTCAGGATTTTCGCGCCTCGCATCACGTCGCATAGATTGCCAACACATTATAAAAGCAAGCCAAGAAATGAATCCAGAGAAAAATCAAAAAATATAACTAAGAAAAATCACATCAAATGCACCAAATGTTTGTCCATGCTACATATGTTACAGCAGGCAGTTACAGTTACAGTTACACGTTACATGATGCTACAGCTACAGTTACAGATGCTACAGATACATCATGCTACAGTTACAGATGTTGCAGTTACAGTCACCTCATTATTGGCACGACTGCCATACAATAGGAGATTTTGGGGCCTCCCCTCGGAGAGAGAGCAGACAAAGGAGAGCTCCCGCCGCAGCGGACACCAGACACTCCGTGTCGGCTTACGGAGGGTCTTGTGCCCGAGGGCTGCTGTGTGTCTGGTGGTGTGATACGGTATACCGCACTGTTACACGGCCCGCTGTACCGGGCGGCGGTACCCAAAGATGACCTTGCATTACAGGTGCGTCCACTTAAAACATTGCTCACGCAGAAATCACGCTTTATGTACATATTGAAATTACACGCACACACACACAAATAAACACACACAAGCACTCTCGCCCGCGGTTGGCCCTACACGGCGACATAGTACGCTATCCCGCGGCCCGCCGAGGCAACGGGCTGTGATGCGTGTACGACCACTTTCACACTGCGCGGTGAACTAAGCATAGAGGTATGCACTTGACCGATGTCTATGCGGGGTCGCCCGATTCTGTAAACATCCACTATCGTCCACTGCTGATCGTTGCGTGGTAACCCACCGGCCGCCCGCCAAACCGGCCAGCGGTTCCAACGGAGCTGCCCCGCTGGTACTGGCTGTAGCCGCTCGCTTGGGGCACGTAGCCTCCACCGAAATGGCTCAGTCCATTACCAAACCCATTACCGAACTGGCCGACATTGCCGGCTCCGAAGTGGATTGGACCTCCTCCGAGAGAACCGACTCCTCCTGCAAGAGGACTGATGCTTCCTCCGAGCTGACCGACGCCTCCTCCGAGAGGATTGATGCCTCCTGCGAGAGAACCGACTCCTGCTCCCAGATTACCGACGCCTCCTCCGAGAGGATTGATGCCTCCTGCGATTTGACCGACGCCTCCTCCGAGAGGATTGATGCCTCCTGCGAATTGACCGACGCCTCCTCCGAGAGGACTGATGCCTCCTCCGAGATTGCCCAAGCCGCTTCCAAGCAGGCTACCTCCAAGGTTAAGACCGCTCCCGAAGTTGTTAAATCCACCTCCAAACTGCTGAAATCCCGTTCCGAGCTGACCAAAGCCGCCGCCCAAGTTGCCTCCAAGCTGTTCGGATGAGGAGCTGGTAGAGGAGTGGCTGACGCCGTTGATGCCGCGGGTGTTACTGGCTTGCGCTTTGTTGAAGCTAGAGGAGCCGTGAGAGGCTGTGCCCTGCAACGCGGAGAGCATGGTTAGTCACGGCGATCCCTTCCACACAGGCACTGGAGTGCACAGTTCCAACACGCTTTACATTTGCAAAGCATTGCCACTTAGTCTGCTTCAGTTTCGTCCCCACAGCAGGACGTCCAGGGATTTTTGGACTCAAAAGATGTAGCATTCGCCAACAGATCCAGCGTTACCCAGCATAGCGCTTAGCCCCGCTGGGTCCGGCGAGAGCTCCAGGCCGGGGGCCTCACCCCTGCGCGAGACGAGGTGGTGGTGACGCGGCTGACACCCTGCGGCCCGTGGCTCTGCCCCTCTGTCACGGTGCCCTCGGCCAGGCCGGAGCTGGTGCCGATCCTGCCAAACGGCAGCGCCGCCGCAGACGACAGCAGACATAACAGTGGGACGGCGCTCTTCATGGCGGAAGAAATTGGACTGGAAGACCGAGGACGCTGCAAAATGTTGAGCAGCGTTTAGGTCGTTAAAAAGACGTTCAGCAGCGTGATCAATGACGCCCTGGGCGAATGCAACCGATCTTGAATTAAGGACTTTAAACACACACGGACATGGCCCTGAAAGAGTGAGTGAGGTCCAGGAGCTTATACTCTGGCGTGCTTTAACGGATCGCCAAACAGGCATTTTGAGATGGCGAGATGCTGAGATGGATCTGACACTGATGCATGGTTAGAACTGACGATGTTGATTGGAGTCCACTGATTTGTCTCATTTCGCATGGGCTTCAACTGCGCCACGTAAAATGTGTCCATTTGTATGCAACTTGATAACTATTGCACGAGCAAAAAACAATGGTATAGCTAGAAGTATTGTGTCATCATTACAATACAAAATTCATACGATGCTCATGCCATTTTTCGTTCATAATCACTCTTTGCAGCCAGGACTCACCTAAGCGTTCGGCTGGAGGCTGGAGATTGCTGGTCTTGAGTTCTAGCGGCGGCGTTCTTATACTCAGCACAAAAGCACCAGGCCAGCAGCGGGTCATTTTGACCACACTGTGACCCATTGGCCCGTTGAAGGGCCCGACTACGGTCACCAAGCCGGCGCCCCGTTTAGCGCGTCGGCTGGGAAACCCGCGCTGTGCTGATCCCTGGGTCAACCTCTAGGTCATGGCCACGAGTTTAGCGCTTACCTGCAGCCGGCTGCCGGCTTTTCTCACCCCTTCTGGGAATGAGCGTCCGAGCTGTGTCACTAGAAGTGCTTGTATCACGTGGAATAAGAATGGAGTTACACTTGGATGGACAGATTCGCACTTCAGAGCTCCCACAAAAAAAGTTTTAAATCTAGCCGTTAATGTCCATGCAATAGTCACTGATCATAAAACAGACAACGCACAGGCAGGTGGCACAATGCACGACGACATTTGGTTATATACTTGTCAAACACGATGTCAAGATTGTCGAGGGCCGCCTTGCTCGCGACCGCTGACACCCGCACGTCTCCAGGCAACAAGTGCCATTTGCTGGATACGCGAAACATGAACGTGAACATGAGCTTGCCATATCGTAGAGGGATTGGTTGTGCTCACATACCGTCGCCCCATTGCCAACATTTTGACCTTGCCGTACGAGGATGCTTCAGAGTCCCCCCATCCCTCCCCCCGTAAGATATTCAAATCGAATAAGCCAGAGCCGCACAAAAGACATCATCACGAAGCTCCCCTTTAGCCCCATCAGATCAGCGTGAGTAAAGAACGATGAAGAATACCTTACACGGGTTAAAACAGGTTATTTGCCACAAATTAAGGCTTTAAATAAGTCTCCTTCATCGCAGTTCCGGCAGTCTTTGTGGAGAAATAATGTGTTTGAATTGCACGTGTCAATCCCATTGGCGTATCAAAGGTTCGGAGTTCCTCTTCACAGTCCAGCATCAACGGAAGCGAGATTATTAGTAGCAGTCATCAGTATTCCTGCTGTGATTGCGTGTCTACGCGATATGTTGTACGTGATAGTGTGATGAAGGTAGTTGGTGAGGCAGTGGAGGTAAGACGTGGTACAAGTCCAATCGGCGAACAGAAAGAGGATAAGAGGTGATAGGACTGGCGGGTAGGGTATGGCGATCCCCGCCGATACTGAATGAGATAACCGGTGATGAAAGAAGAGCGGTGACGACTGTGGCAGCGGCAAGGTGATGTTTAAGAGATGAGATGACGTGCACTGTTCCCCGAGGTCAAACGACATTGAGGCGGCTTGAGATATTATGTACTCGCTGTCAGAGGTTGATACGCGTACCTGACAACGCACAAATATTCGCAAAACACAAACATGCATACCCCCCCCCCCCCACACACACACATCAACATGCGCACATGCACATGCACACGCACACGCATTCATCGCTGCTTTACTGTACAGACACGGAGGCCTCCCAACGCCATACCCGAGCCGTCGCCCGTGGCAACGGTTCACTGCACCTTGAACGCGTCAGGTTAGCCGCCTGACAGCGGAGGTTTCCGTACCGAACGGCTGTCGCGTGGAGCTGCTGGCACCCGGCGGCCGTCCACGCTTCATCACGGCGTGTCTTATGTCTGTTGTAATGCCTTGACTGTTTGGACTGAGTAGTGTGACTTTGAGCGTGCGTATGTGTTCCCGCTTAACTTCGTGTTTTGCGTTCTTGTATAAAGTCGGCTGGGTGGAAAATAGCCACCACGTGGAAAGCGCCGCTCCTCCTTAATATACTAATTATAAACTAAGACCTGCTTTATTTCTAGCATCGGTGCGGCACAACAGCGAATTTCGACACCCGCACTTCGTTCGGCACGACAGACAAACAGGCGGCCAGGCGGCCAAAGGGCCGTCAACTGATGCGAGTCATGCAACCCCTCAGGCTAGTTGATAACAGTCACCGGCTGATCAATCGGTCTCTTTCCCCAAGAAGAGCAATTCATTTGCTCAGATGCTCTTTAAGTTCCAAACAGGCTGTCACCTGTCAACGAGGAACAAAATCCTTAGAAAATAGGATTTCGCAGTCACTGACCGCATGGGCGGTTCCTCATCCCAGTAATCGCTGACTCTTGGCTGCCCATGGCTTTGCCGCCCTTGGCTGCGCAGGTCCTGTTGACTACTGAAGCATTTATCTAATGAAGTATCCATTGTGCGATTCTTAGCGTGTTGAAAACCTAATAGTGAATGCAAACTGACATTCTTTTATCAATACACATGCCAGATTTGTTTTGACCAGTGCAAATATGACTTCATACCGCTACGCGATGCACATTTACAGACAACAGTTTTCGTTTTTTTCAATACGAGCAATAAAGGTACATTTGGCCGTATCTGGTATTTTAGCAATGTGGTTTAAAATCGACGCAACTGCTTCATTCTCGTCGATGAAAATAAAGCAAGTACCTGCCAACGTCACGCGCATAGATTATGAGTTTGACGCAACCAGCAATTTGGCAAGAAATAACGGTCTCTCTTTAGGTTAGTTCATCAGTTCGCTTGTCCGACAACGGATACACAACTGAGGCGGCATGTATGGGATGAGATGGTCGTGTTTGTTTTTCTGAAGGCATACCAGATAGACGTCGTCCCATGCTTGTGAACTGGGTGCCGCTGAAACTGTCAGGTGACATCGTATGGGAGTGTTGTTCCTGATTTGTATTCTGAAAATGTTGGACAATGTGATCATGCTTTAGGTTATTGATACCAGCAGCGATTTTTGGCCCCGCGATGTGGTGGCACTTGTGAATTAGCTGCCGACAATTGTGAAACAATTACTATGTGGTGAGCATTGTTTTGTTGTTTTTCGTAACAACTCTAGTACCAACAGACAACAAGTCGTGTTAAGTATCTTAGCACTTACTGACTCACAATAACTTAATTATATTTTTTAAAATACTCAAATGCACCAAATTTGCTGTCATTCTTTCAGGCCCATAACGCGGAAGCAGATTGGCAGATTGGCAGATTTACTGCATGCATCGTTTCGGTAGCTCGGACTGAACCGAATTGTATTAAGCAATCTGAGAAAAGCGAATTTGCGGCCGGATTGATTCTAGACTGGCTGAATTGGACTGAAATGAATTTCAGAAACATAGCTGGGCATTATAAATTAAGTTATCTCTCGGCATCATTTAATGGGGTTCTTTTTTTTTGCTGCATTATCATTGGTATATGGTAGTCGGTCAATTTGCTTCAGTGTGTCAAAGATCGGGGGCATTACAAACACGCAGGAAACATAACATGACGTTATTTTCTCGCAAACCAATCGCTGAACTCAACTTCTACAAACAACATTATTGAAAACGGTGACAAATGTGAAACAGACATTATCCACACAGTCTTCAGCCCGTACAAAGACATCATTCCGTAGTTCTAAACAGTCTTGCCAACATTAAAACCCCCTTCAAACATATTTTTGAAGCATCAAAAGCGCCATTTACTGCTCATGCAGGAAGTTCTGTCTGACGAGCTGACGCACCAGGCCATCTGGATTCTAACGATACCGATCAGGTACCGATTAGGTATTGGGATCTTCAGCAACGAAATGGGATGCGTTTGTGGTAAGTCTCGCAAATGTCAGTCCTGCGTCATTTTTGAACAAGGTCAGGCATGCGCTTAATCTGACATCTATTTCCCTTTAAGGCATCATGGGCCTTCAATGAACTGGATATAAATGGTAATCAGCAATACTTAGGGATTACTTTGACACTCATTGTTGGTGAACAGCAAAGACCAAATTAAAAATTGCGGCCCATTGTTTTAATACTTGATAAAGTTGAGCTAATACACGGAAGTTTTAGCGCTTGCCATAGAGCTGATGATGTTTTAAAGACATAATAGAGAAAGGTGCACAGCTACTTGTTTGTCGGCGTTATTATTTCAAAGCACTTGTTTTCGGTTAACAGCTTTCAGTATAGCAGCGCGCACGGGTTAAACGACGCCGTAATGCTTAGTAATGGTTTTATTGATGGCACTCAATGCCATGGTAGCGAAATAAGTAACAAAGCTCGGTTCTTTCACTCTAACAAGTACCGTTAATGTAATCTTTCTTAGAAACTTGCATTTTATTCTTATTATCGAATAACGGTAAAATATTACGGACACCTTTCATCTGAAAATACGCTAGAGGCATCTACTGACGAAAGTTAGTTACTTTCCTCAAGTGGCTTGTTCGCCACATGGGGCACCATGCAATGTTGCTTCGATGTGCAGACACCGACAGAAGCTGGGACTTCTTCACGTAATTACATCAAATCGAGTCAGTAAACCGCCGGTGCATAATATCGCAGCGGTTTTGCATCGTCCACTACATGCAGAAATGCGACACGGGCACTGTTCCTTGCCTTGATATCAATGCAAGAATTTTTAACCACTTGCGGTCCAGCCATCACAGAAAGTCTTGGGTGACTCGGCTCTTCAAAGTGTTCGCGCCTTCCACCTAAAAATGGCGGGCCCATTATAGGAATAAGCCATAAATAAATTTTGTATAAAATTACGAGTACAATTAACTATTAAAAATTACATTAAGCACATGAAATACTTGTCCATGCTACACATGTTTCAGCAGATATCGATAATGCTCAATTCATGTCGTGTCTCCTGCCTGTCGCCATCACCCGCCAGCTGGTGCACAACAGACAAAAACTGCTGCAGCTGTCACGACACTTTAAGCACGAGCTGCAGTACACTGGAAGACTTTAGGGCCTCGTTTTAAAGAGAGAGAGAGAGAGAGAGGGAGAGAGAGAGAGAGAGAGAGAGAGAGAGAGAGAGAGAGAGAGAGAGAGAGAGAGAGAGAGAGAGAGAGAGAGAGAGAGAGAGCAGACAAAGGGGAGCTCCCGCCGCAGCGGACACCAGATACTCCGTGTCGGCTTACGGAGCGCCATGTGCCCGATGGCTGCTGATTGCCTGGTGGTATGGTACGGTATACGCCGCCGCTACATGGTCCACTGGACCGGGTGGAGGTGCTCACAGATGCCCTTGCATTACAGCTGCGTCCTCTGAAGACAGTGTTCAAGCAGACACCAGGCCATATGAATGTATTGAAATAAACACACATACACACTCGCGGTTGGTCCCACACCGAAACATAATATGTTGTCTCGCAGCCCGCCAACGCAATACGCCATGGCGCGTGTATGGCCACTTTCACACTGCACGATGAACTAAGCATAGAGGTATACACTTGGCCGGCGTGTACGCAGGGTCGTCTGAGTCTGTAAATAGCCACTATCGTCCACTGCTGATCGTTACGTGGTAACCCACCGGCCGCCCGCCAAACCGGCCAGCGGCTCCACTGGAGCTGCTCTGCTGGTACTGGCTGTAGCCGCCCGCTTGGGGCACGTAGCCGCCACCGAAATGGCTCAGGCCATTACCAAGCCCATTACCGAACTGGCCGACACTGCCGGCCCCCAAGTGGATTGGACCTCCTCCGAGAGAACCGACTCCTCCTGCAAGAGGACTGATGCCTCCTCCGAGAAGACCGACTCCTCCTCCGAGAGGACTGATGCCTCCTGCGAGAGAACCGACTCCTGCTCCCAGATTACCGACGCCTCCTCCGAGAGGATTGATGCCTCCTGCGAGTTGACCGACGCCTCCTCCGAGAGGACTGATGCCTCCTGCGAGTTGACCGACGCCTCCTCCGAGAGGATTGATGCCTCCTGCGAGTTGACCGACGCCTCCTCCGAGAGGATTGATGCCTCCTGCGAATTGACCGACGCCTACTCCGAGAGGGTTGATGCCTCCTGCGAATTGACCGACGCCTCCTCCGAGAGGACTGATGCCTCCTCCGAGATTGCCCAAGCCGCTTCCAAGCAGGCTACCTCCAAGGTTAAGACCGCTCCCGAAGTTGTTAAATCCACCTCCAAACTGCTGAAATCCCGTTCCGAGCTGACCAAAGCCGCTGCCCAAGTTGCCTCCAAGCTGTTCGGATGAGGAGCTGGTAGACGAGTGGCTGACGCCGTTGCTGCCGCGGATGTTGTTGGCTTGTGCACTGCTGAAGCTAGAGGAGCCGTGAGGGGCTGTGCCCTGCAACACGGAAAGTATGACCAGTCATGTCAGTTCCTTCCACGTAGGGAGAGAAGCACACGGTTCAAGCATGCGTTTAAGTCGCACGGCACTGTCACTAACACTGCTTCGATCCCGTCTCCAGAGCAGGAGGTTCAGGGATTTGGGACTGAAAAGATGCAACACTCGCCAACAGATCCAGTGTTTCCCAGCGTAGCGCTTAGCCCCGCTGGGTCCGGCGAGATCTCCAGGCCGGGGGCCTCACCCCTGCGCGAGACGAGGTGGTGGTGACGCGGCTGACACCCTGCGGTCCGTGGCTCTGCCCCTCTGTCACGGTGCCCTCGGCCAGGCCGGAGCTGGTGCCGATCCTGCCAAGCGGCAGCGCCGCCGCAGACGACAGCAGACACAGCAGTGGGACGGCGCTCTTCATGACGGAAGAAATTGGACTGGAAGGACCGAGAACGTTACGCATTGTTAAGCAGCGTTTTGGTCGTTACAAAGTAGCGAAAAGAGTGTTCAACAGGATGGTCAATGACGCCCTGAGCGATTGCAAACGATCTTCAATTAAGCACTTAAACACCGACAGGATGGCCCTAAAATAATGACTGATGTCCAGCGGCTCATACTCTGGTGTGCTTTAACGGATCGTTAGACAGACATTTTGAGATGGCGAGATGCTGAGATGGATCTGACACTAATGCATGGTTTTAACCTGACGTTCGTTGATCGGCGTCCACTGATTTGTCATATTTCGCAGTGGGCCCCAACTGCGCTACGTAGAATATGTCCATTTGTAAGCAACTTGAGAAATATGGCATGAGCAAAACAATGGTATAACTAGAAGGAGCGTGCCATCACTACAATAGAAAATTCGTAAGATAGCCCATACCATTTTACGTTGTCAATCACCCATTGCAGCCAGGACTCACCTGAGCGTTCGGCTGGAGGCTGGAGATTGCTGGTCTTGAGTTCCAGCGGCGACGTTCTTATACTCAACACGAGAGCACTGGGCCAGTAGCGGGTCATTTTGACCACACTGTGACCCATTGGCCCCTTTCAAGGGCCCGACTAAGGCCACCAAGCAGGCGCTGCGTTTAACGCGCCGGCTGGGAAACCCGCGCAGCGTTGATCTCCGGGTCACCCGCTAGGTGATGCCCAAGATTAGAGCTTACATGAAGCTGGCCGTCGGCTTTTCTCACCTCTTCAGAGCCTGAGCGTAAAAGCTGTGTCACTGTATGTGCTTGTGTGAGGGTTTAATGGAACTTAGATGAATGGATTTGCGTTTTGGAGCTTCCACGCATTTGCTTCTGTACTCACGTGATACGAGATCAAGATTACGAATAAGATTACAAATACGAGATCAGGATTACGAATAAGGTTACAAATGCGAGATCAAGATGGTTGTAAAGGTTGCGTTGCTCTCGACCGCTGACATCTGCAAGTCCGCGAGCAGCAAACTCCATTTCCTGGGTGCGCGAAGTATAAACGTGAGCATGAACTTGCCAACTTATGCCGTAGATGGATTGTTTGTGCCTACTTTCTACCGCCCTACGGGCAATAATTTTATCTTGCCGTACAAGGGTGCTTCAGAGTCCCCCCCCCCCAAGTAAGATATTCGAATCAAGTAAGCTATGGCCGCGCAGTACACCTCATTGCAAAGCTCCAAAGCTTTAAGATGTTTGGCAAAAAAACTCAAGTCGAATGGCTTTTGAAAGATTAAAATTGTGTTACAAAATGTGTTACATATCGTGCTATGAGATTTTGCTACAAATATGTTATAAAATTGTGTTGCCATTGCTCAAGTTGTATTTAGGTTGACCTGACCATAAAGAACAGCTAGAACTAAAGCAATGCACGTTGGAGTCATAACTTTCCGAAAGGCCACCTAGAAAAAATTATGTGGTGTATTTTTTGCGAGAAACAGGTGCTATACGTCACTTGACAGTAACATGTCATCAGCGTACTTTTGGCCAAGTGGTCATAGATCATGAACCGTCGGGTAAAGATTTGCATAAAAACACGGATGATGTCAACTCAGCAAGTTGACATGACATGACACCATCATCATGGCAGCTGATGTCAACTCAGCTGTACGAATTTTTGGCGCTGGGCTCAAAACCGTTAAAAAATGCTTTCCAGAACATCTTAGGGGAACTCTGGATGCTCTTCGGAGGACAAAAGTTAAGCTATATGCAAATCGTTAATCTAATGTGCTTGCATGGCAGCTCCACATTCATGTCTGTTTCCATGTGGTAATTATGAACGCTGAAAGTGTTGGAAATGAAAAACACTGGTATGAGCAGCGCTATCAAGTTTGGTTTTTGTCTTAACAAGAATATTTATGGCATGCATGGACCCAACCTGCTGTAGTTCCGGCAGTTTTAGTGGGAAATAATGCTGTTCATATCGTGCGTGCCAATTTGTATTTAGGATCACAGGACGGGGTTTTCCTACGCCCCCCATGATCAGTAGCAGTTAGATGATAAGTAGCAAAGTCATACTTCTAATCTGAGTATTCCTGCTGTGATTGCGTGTCTACGCGATATGTTACACGTGCTAGTGTGATGGAGATAGTTGGTTAGGAAGTAAAGTTGAGACATGATACAAATCCAATCGGCGAACAGAAAGAGGATAACAGGTGATAAGGCTGGCGGCTAGGGTATAACGATCCCCTCTGATACGGAATGAGATAAACCGATACTGAAAGAAGGGCGGTGACGACTGCAGCGGCGGTATGGTATCGGTTAAGAAAGTGCATGACGCGCACTGTTTCCGCGGCCAAATGACATTGAGGCTGCTGGAGAAGTTGCTGTCACTTGCTGTCAGATGTTGATAGGCGTACCCGACAACCTATAAATGTGCACACAAAACAAATGCAATTGCATGCACACGTATACACTCGCACACGCACACCCACACGCACACGCGCGCGTATGCACACGCACACGCACACACCACTACTATATTTCCAGCATCAATGTGCGGCACCACGGCGAGTGCCAACAGCGCTCCTCCCGGCACACTTCAGAAGGGCGGACATCGGGTCATCGGGTGGAAAAGCGGCCTCTTTCCCCGGGAAGAATCATTCAGCTGTTCAGATGCTTCTAAAAATCCAGACTGGTCGTCACCCTCCATCGAGGGACAAAATTCTTAGCAAAATTATTTTGCAGTCACCGGCCGTATCGGCGGTTCTTGATCCTAGTAATCGCTGCTCCTCGGCTGGCCTTGGCTTGGTTCTCTTTGGCCACCTTGGATCGGCTGCCGTTGGCTGCGCAGGTCCGTTGGCCGTTCCGGGAGACTTTACCACGAGAAAGTGTTTCGAGCTGCTAAAGGCACAGCGACACCGTGGCTATCAACACAGACTCCGTGAATGCACTGCAAATCTGCCGGTACGCCACGAGGAAAATGAGCTCCCGAAGATTCCTGAAGCTATGCTAGGCAGCATAGCAATTTTTCGGGTTGTGTGCGTGTGTCACCAACACCTGTATTGTGCGCAAAGTTCCTGGCCGTAGGTAATTTCTATTTTAGGTCAAATCGAGGCAAAGTTGTTAAATTCGACGCCCTTTGCTCATCTTGACATTCGATGGGAATGTCAAAGCCAACAGACGGTTGTGTACAGCTGATAATATTTACAGATCGGAAGACAGGCGTGTTTAATTGCAAGCCACTTCCGTGCGTACAGCTTCATGCATTTTCGCGCTCTGCTGTCAGCCGTTTCAATCCGTACATTAAATTCATGAGCCGAAAAAGGCAAACCTGTCAGACAGCAGAAGTCCATCCGTAGAACAAACAATGCGTTGGAAATTACTTGAAAGCATGCTTCAAATTGCATGCGTCTCTTTTTCTATCGGTAGATTTCGCTTGAAAATTGCTGGAGGTTGCATCCCTCCTCTCCACCACATCCATACCCCCCCCCCCCACACACACACTACCATCACCACCACATTCGACCTCTTTTTGCAAGCGTGTGTAGCTGCCCATCCCAGCTACGGCTGCTTTGCTGTCATCGGGGTGCTTTGATTCCTGAGATCACTAAGCTGCAACGGTACGCTGAATGATACATATTGCTCACACCGCACACACACACACACACACACACACACACTGCGTGCACTACACATTACATACAACTACTATAATACATACTACAGCACGTGCACGCTGAACGTGCAACACATACAACTACTATAATGCATATTACAGCACGTACATGTTGAGCGTGCGACACGGCGTCAGTGACCGAGCTCCAGCACGTGAACCAGTGGATTCCGGCCAGCCAATCCTGCTCGCGTGCGCTGACCCTGAGGTACGGCCGGAGTCCCCACGCGCCTGTGGTTGGCACCGGTCGGTTACCGGTCTCTGCATGCGAGCCATTCCTGTCCGCAGCGCCCTCGCGTCGCGACCGCAGCGAAGGCCTGGTGGCGTCTGTGAGGAGCGAACCCCACCGCGAAGGCCGCACGCCCCGTTTGTTCGAACAGGGCAGGATGTGCGGGACTCTGGGCTGAACAACATGCTTAGTTCGTCTCGAGAGGTAGTGAAAGTGGGCCGAGTGGCTGCCGTTGAGGACGGAGGCCGAACTGGCCTCATTTCAACAGTGAACACATTCCATTCGTCTGAACAGTGAACACATTCCATTCATCTGAACAGTGAACACAATACACTTGGAATGAACGCACTCCGTTCATCTGAACAGTGAACACATTCCATTTGAAATGAATGCATTCCATTTATCTGAACAGTGGGCTCATTCCATTCATCTGAACAGTAAACACATTCCATTCCTCTGAACAGCTAACACATTCCATTTGGAGCATACTGGCCCCTGTTCTGCTCAGCACGACCCAGCTAAGTGGAGGCCTCCACGCGTAGTAATTCCTTTTCCCCATCCACTTACTATTCGTGGGCTGTGCCCATACCCGCCCATCACATACCCGCCTGCTACCAATTCGCAATCAGTTTTACCCACCCGATGCCCATTCGTTAATCAGTTTGACCTACTCGATACCCACACGTTTATATTTTTTCAGCACATTAGTTCTAAGCCTTCTCGGAGTTTCAGGAAAGTGTACACACGCAACTGCGCTGGTATTTACAAAAGTGGTGTGCATGGAGCAACTATGATTGAAAGGGATGCAAGCAGTACCATTTTGTGGCCTTTCCTGAAGCAGCTGTAGCAGGTATCGGTGGTGGTGTGTTGACTCGGGCGTTTGCCTCTGGGCCTGTCGGTCCCGGGTTCGGATCCCGGCCCTACCACTGCCGCATGCCGCACGCTACCTAATAAGGACATCCTCATAAATAGCCGTTGCAGTCAGCGACGCTCTGTAAGGCCTTAAAAGCGATAAAAGTCAAACCGCACCCATAACCGTGATTTTCACCGGAACTGTACTTTACTCAGCCCGTTAGCCACTCCGTCCGGATTACCCAAACCGT